TCCGGAGTATCAAAGGAATTTTGCTTCGTCATATACATCTTTCGTTCTAAATTATTTTCCCTGTTTCAATGTGTATAATTTTATTTTGAAATTGGTATAGAAGAAATGGTGAAATGCTTAATTATTTTGTGTTATAAAAAATTGAATGAAAATGTACACGCAGATAAAAGGTATCGAAGTCCCAAATAGTGAAAAGATACTCTCTCCATCCCAAAATATTCTTCACAGTTATTGTTCATACGGCCAAATTTTAATCATTTTCTTTAAATATTTTTATTAGTTATTTGATAAAATATAGACTTATCACTTCTGGTTTTGTAGATTTTTTAATGTAGTTTTTTAAATAGTAATTCCTCCGTCCCCCGGTTTTTGACCACTTTTGACTTTTGGAACTGTTCATCCAAGCACTTTGACTCATCAAATTCTCTCAATGTGTAAGCCTAAATATAGTCATGTGTGATCTTGTTTGATTTGTCTTAACATATAGATTATTAATATATAATTTTTATAATTTTTTAATATATAAATTACTCCGTACAAGATAAAATGGATTAAGAAGTGCATTGGATTGTATGCAAAAATGAAAGTGGACAAAAACTGGGGGACGGAGGGAGTATATATTTTATTAATTTTACACCTAGAAGAAAATAAATTGAATTGAAAATAAAATCGATCAAACCTCGTAAATAGAAATGAGAAGAACGTCTTAAGGCGGAGGAAGTGTTTTTTTTGGGACTGATGGAGTAAGTTATGACCCAGGAGAATTATAGTTGATTTAATAATATTTTGATTTAGTTTGATTGAAAATTAAAGTATTGTTTAATTTGGTTTTAAAAATTAGAAACGTATACGGATATATATCTGACCGATATCCGACGGAAGCGGATACGGTTTTGATTTTCAATATCCGTCAAGATCCGTATCCGAATTTGATATTTGACAAAAATAAACGGATACGAATTTGGTAACGGCACATCCGATCCGATTAATATCCCTTTACACCCCTACTCCCACACTCAGCAGCCTAATTGATAGGCATGCGTACTGGATATTACAATTGTTAAATTTTGAGTTCGAGCGAGTCTTGATAGTTACACTTGTAAACTGGTAGATCATGAGACTTCTACAAGTATTATATCATTTATAGTGCGTGCTCTGCCTTTCACCTTTTTTCAGTGCTAGACTAGAACACTCGCAATGCATTCGCCCTCTTGCCTCGTCTCTTAATTTAATTTACAATATTCTTAATTTTTACTTTAAAACTGATATAAATTAAATAAAAATATATAATTATTAATAAAAATAGATGAATAATAAAAGAATAATAAATAAAATTATAATAATAAATAGAATTTAAAAATGTAAAGAAATTAAATTTGGTCAAGCGACGCAACATAACCCTGCAATAGCCGCCGCTGGCCATCTACCCGCGCCGCACGGCCCGCCCCAATCCCGACATCCGGTGAGCGGCGCGGCGCCGCCGGACGCTCCCTCCCCTCTCTCTGCAATGGCACCGGCCGCTCACCCCGCCCCTTTGAGCAGTGCGGCGCTCCCATTGTAAATGTTCTTAGAAACAACACCTCACTCATCATGATTTTTTTTAAAAAAGTTACTCACTCATTATTAATTAAACAAAGATCATCATAATTCTATCCATTTTCTTTCAAATCAAATCTTGAATTGGTGATGGGGGGGGCCGAGCATTGAATGGGTTCATCCAAATTTTTGTTCACAATAAATTGGAGTGAGTGTTTCCTAATAAGCTCCACAGTCACATCAAACATTAGACAAATGAAACCATTTCAAGTAAGACGCAGAGTCGTACTTAGATGTTATAACAAAATTGGCAGGCAGGTAAAACCTTACACCCATAGGTTTGGTGGCCTAAAACCTCTCTTCTCCACGCCCCCCC